TAACTTTTTCCAAAGCCAAAGGGCTGCCTCGCTCCATCCCTTCTCCCTCTGGAGCACACAGCAGTCTGTGGAAGAGCAGAGCCAGTTTGGCTGCTGGGCACTTAAATAACTCCCTGTGCTTGTTTTGAAAGACCTTCTCCATCCATCATTGCTTGATGGAGCGGGTATGAGCGAAAGACCAAACAGGTTTTAGCACTAGATCTCACCATATAAAGAGCAAAGAAGTGCCCTGCCAGCTTGTCACCTTGCACTTTTATCTATAAAACATAACCTTTCAAAGAAGTTCCCACGGGAGGCAAGAAATGTGAGACAGCCACTTCCCTCACCCACATTGATACTGTAGATCAAGCATGGCTTTAAACACCTCCTTTCCCCTCCTCTCCCCCACCTTTCACGCCTATCCCTACCAGGTAACACGACCTGTGTAGTTCCACCTGCTGTAAACCACTCGATATCAGATTAAAAAATCACATTTGTCTCCCCCTGCAGAGACTGTCAGCATTCGCCATGGCCAAAAGGCATCAGCAGCACTGATAAGCCTTGCTTGATCCTCAGCTGCTGTACGTTGTTCTGGGAAGGGGCTGTACCAGTGTAGACCAGGCAAAGCTCTGGTCTGGACCACCACTGCATCCAAACACTGTAAGGTCTTTAGGGCTGGTTATTCATTCTGCTTGTACAGCACAGTGAGACTGTGGTCTCTGACTGCAATACAGGCTCAGGCAAAAGAGCTTTATGGCTGTGCATCCAGATGGGAAATCCTTTTCTCTTGTTGTAGGGAAGAACTTACCAATTATGTTTTCTACAGACAGCATCCAGACAAAAAAAAACCCTACTGGTACATCAGAGTTTTACAAGGGTTGAGACATGATCAAAGGAATTCTTTCACACAGGCAGATTTATTTGGACGTGTGGATGATGTTCCACTTCACCCAAATCCCAAGCTCAACCATACCTTTCCGTGTTGGACTGTCTCTCTCCACACAGCACAGCAGCACATGGTCACACAAGGGAGTCTGAATTTGTACCCCAGACAAGGATTTTTAAGCCTGCCCATGGCAAATCATGGGTCAAGCTCTTGAGTAAAGATTTCAAGGACGGAACAGAACTGCTAAACCCTTTGCTATGAACTATCATGTTAAGAAGAACTTTCATCATCTGCAAACCTCAATTTTCCTACCTACAAGAGAAGGACGACAGTCTCTTGACTCCCTGGGTGTTGCTAGGATTAGACAATGTTTGCTCAACATTAATGTAGATTTTGGTGTCTTGTGTTATTGCTACTGTCACATTATAGAAAGGTCAATGAACACAATCCAGTGAGTCAGAGCCTTCCCACAGCATTAGTGTAGTCCTCAGAGCTTAGCCAGGCTCTGTATTTGGATAAAGCCCACCACAATCCCACCCTTCAAAGATCCCAATGTACGTCAGTGGCAGCTCTTTCCTGTTGCTGCCTCATCTCTATGTTTAGGACAAGGAGCACTTGGAAGATGATGCTGAAATTGAAGCAGGGAAAGAAAACTAACCCAAACCACACATATGGGGGCGGAGGGAGAGAAAGGGTAAAAATAAACCAAACTCCCCTCAGAAAAACTCCATAAAGAGCATCTAGCCAGAATCAGAAGGCAGGGAGGGAAGATTTAGGTAGAAATTAAACAGAATTTAGGGAAAAATGAGTCTCCCACTTCTTCTCCAATTAGAAACCTTCAGCAAGAATCTCTTGCCAGGCCAGCACCTCACGTAAAACAGCAGTCATGTTACCAAACCTGTTTCATAATGCACTTGGAACTATTGAAGACCTCATATATTCTCCAACAAAAATACAGACTTCTTTCTGGGAAAAGCATTGATTCATTGACCCTACAATTCTTACCTGGAAACCTCTTGCACTCCATGAACTCAAGGCAGAGCTGCAACACCAATTCCTTGCACCCTGTCCCCTGGCTGGAGACATTATGTTTCTTGGCTCTCCAGCCAACTGCGAGGTATGCTGCCTCGTGATCAGAAAGCCACACTAACCAGCCATATCCCAAATTCTCTAGGCTCTCTGCCATGGAGTTGTGAGTCCAAAGTCCTGAGAATGCTTACTTTCAACGAACAACGTACAAATCAAACTGTGGGTGGGTGACAAGAATATTTCAACACACCAAAAGCAGAGAAAGGCCAGGCAAATGTCTCGTCTGGGACTTTCTTCTCTCCTCACCCTTGGCCTTAAGTACTTCATCTCTGCATCCCTTATCATAGAATGGTTTGGCTTGGAAGGAACCTTTAAAGGTCATCTAGTCCAACCTCCCTGCAATGAGCAGGGACATCTTCCACTTACCTCTCCCTCAACACAGCCACCCCATCTCCACTACCTCCCCTATCACAATAGCTTTATCACTGCAGCCTACTCACTGCAAACTCCCCATATCCTCCAGCTCATACCACTGCTTCCCAAATCCCTCCCTTCTCTCTTCCTGTAATCCCCCCATGCCCTTACTTCTCCCTACAGCCTCACCTTCCCACCACACCATTTCCAATGCTGATCAACACCACAAATCACAGATACCCTAAAGCAACTATTGCATACTGAAAGCTTTTTGAAAGTTCTTCTCTGATACAAATTTTCAGTACCTTCAGCTCGTGGCAACATTCAAGATGACCCACTGCTGGCTGACCACTGCCACCCCATGTGCTGGTCAGGGAGGCCAGTGTGAATACATGACAGGATGCCAATTCTGTGCCCAGGGCACAGGAGGGCGGCGAGACCAGAAGAGCAACGTGCTCAGCAGCACAATACAACAGGCAACAAGACGTTGCACTGCGGACTGTGTGTTGTGGGGTCTGTGCTCCACTTGGAGCTTCCAGACAGCTGTTCAAGGAAATTGCCATCAGTGTCAGCCTCATCACTGCTATTAGACATCTCATCCATGTCTGGGCCCAGCTTGAACCCATTTAACTTGTAAGGGGTAATGAGATAACAGCATGACATGTTGCAGCTGAAGGTTATTTAAACACCCATCTGGTACCTGTTATGCAGCATACATCCTATTGTTGTATAGGAAATATATGCCACCTCCCTCCCACATGGAAAGGAGAAGATCTATAGATGTGTCCCATGCTACCCTTTCTTTTTGCGTAGATGAGGTAATTCTCCTTCTCTGTGCTGTTTCTAGCATCGCTTTGCATTTCCTATCTGCATTTTGGGAGATGCAGTCCTTTCCAGGCTGGTGAGACCTTGTGAAAGGACACAAGACCACAATGAAAAATTTGCTATGGACATCTCATCACCCCCTTCACACATCAGTCAGAAGAGGCTCCACACAATCCAGGTTTGAAAGGGTGGACCATAAAGTGTGCAACTGATTCACCCTTTGTAGGACACAACTTGGCACTCCACTTTGTCCCAGAGAGATTCAGGGGTGACAATCCATTTCAGCATTCATGCGACCACACTCCATTCTACAAAGGAACAGTGAAGTATCTGCTGCAGTCTGTGAGGTGAGCAAGAAAACCTGCTTGCACCTTTAATTCAGCTGTACAGCCAAGAAAATCTACAGATCCCAGATAAACAGCCTCATTTCTTTATTCAAACTCTCCATCTTCCTTTGTAAGATGACTTAGGCTGTTCCCCGTCCCCTGCTGAAATTGCCTGTGAGGCTCTTGCTCTGCGTGAACCCTGAACAGCCGTGAGGGCTGGGTGGTATGATCCCGAGAAATCACGTTTCGTAGCACAAGTGGTCAGCTCTGCAGATGTGTACTCTCTCGTTTTTCTCAGGCATGACTCGGTTTTCTGCAAAAGTTGTTCTACCCTGTAAATCCTGGACTAAAACCTTTGACTGACACCCCATCTAGTGTTCAGCACAGACAAATGCAGGGGACTGCTGCATCAAGGAAACAGTTGACTGAAAAATTCCCATCATTTTTTCAGCATTATTAAACCACCTTTGTGAAAACATCACTTGAGTTGACTTCAAGAGAGCTCTGACAGAGTCCAGGCAACATGTAAACCTGCATATGCCACAGTTCCTTCCTCTGGCTTCTATGCAGCCTCCGGGGCTCCTAATGGAGAGATTGCAGCTGGAAAGCCCAGCAAGCCCCGCTCCTCAGGTGTTAGCTCCTCGCTACCCAAAGCCTGGAGCTTTGAGGACACCCCTCTGTAGATGAGCCGTCTGGGCAAAATACCTTGGAATAATGAGACAAGACTGTAAGCTGTGCCCACCTCAAGAGCCGATGGCAGCTGACAGTGAGGACTCTTTCAAAACAGGGAACAACAGGGCTCCCAAGGTGCTCGGCAGTCAGCAGCACAGGGCACTCGTTTCAAGAGAGACGTCAAATCTTGGGCATGTATTTTGAATACTAAATAATGCTGCTTAGTGTTTTTCCAATGAGATTTTAAAAATAAAATGAGAACTACTTAAAAGTGCTTTTCACATTTTTTTCATTTAAAAAAAAAAAGTTTGCTGAGAAAATGAAAGCTGTTTCAGTGTCTGTCCTTCCCCTTTGCAAACACATTACTTTGGCGGTGGGGAGGATCATGGAGTTGTCAGGACAAAACACCTGCTCTGAGAACTTGGTTTCAATAAAGCAGCTTTCTGACGTGTTCAGACCTGTGAGTTGCAGAGCTCCAGCCACTGCTACAGAAACCTCTGGGCTCTGCGATGCTAGGTGCACAACCCATTCTGAACTAAGCCCAAAACAAGCATTGCTATGTTTCTGGTTAATCACCAGGCCAATTAGCACCTTGGTTAAGATGCAGTGAGGTTCCACTCCTGCTCTCTTCAGAGCTGGGGTTGTTCTGATGAAACTCACTCTACCCATGCAGTGATACCCTCCTCACAACACTTTCGGTTTCCAAGGAGTAGCGTGATAAGCCTGTTAACTCATTCAGAACTCCATCTTAAGGAAACTTGGCTTCCATCCTCTTGAACAGCCTCAAGCCCCACACTCCAGGAAGTTATTCTGCAACTTCTGTTTTGCTCTCCTTTCCTGCTGAGCCAGGCTGGCTTTCAGTTCCCACCATGAAGCTTACGAATGCTGCTGTATTCTTTATTCTTGTGCCCACTTTGACGCCGGCTTTCGACCCTCTCAGCACCTCAGTCTTCATGGGAGGTGCTGCTGTTGCGTGGCAGCTCCTCTCCCCTCACTCCTGGCTCAAGTGCAGTCTGCTGGAGTGCTGCAATATGAAGGACACCCTGGACTTAACAGGTAAGGCAGTGGCAAGGGCACCTTGAGCCAGGTTTTCAGTGGGACCAGCTGATGGTTCTTCCCAGGGTGGTGTGGGCTTCCTTTTTAATGTCTGCTTCCTTTGGGGTGGTTGTGGAGAGAGAAGAGCTACTTCCCACAGTGGTTCTAGAAGGCAAAGGCTGTACTAACCTAAAATTGCTTATCCCACAAGTGGTCATGTACCCGGCTTCTCATGGAAGTACTGGGGCATTTTCCTTGCTCATGTCTTGGTTTATATTGGCAGAAGCAGGCAAAATTCTGGAGGCAAATTCAAGGTTAAGAGCTAATGAAATAATCCCACATCTTCTTGAGAAGGACACCCCAGTGGTATCCCACACCCCAGTTGGTGGTTGCCTGTAATACAGGCAACAGTAATACATTGCTGCCAAATGAGCAGCAATTAGTGGTACGTCTAGATTGAAAACATGCTGCTTCAATTCTCTGAGACAAACAGGCTGGCAGTCCTCAGTGATTGGGGAAGAAGGGGTTGTTTCACTCTGCCTGCCGGAAACTAGTGCATGGTCTGAAAAAGACCTTATGCAACTTTTTATCCATTAACTCCTGATCCTGCCACCTGGAAATCCCCCTTCTCTTTGTCACAAGATTACAAATATTGCTTCATTTCAGAGCGGGGATGCAGATTTCAAAACAAATCCTCAGTTGTTGTAGACGTGTGTGCCTTCCAGGTACTTCAATCAGTCACTTCCTACCAGCTCTGGGTCTGGCTGCTTACAAACAAGCTGTTTGTACAGTGTCCTTTAGCTACTGAAACACCAGTTGTGGTACTTTTTAAAGAGAACTTGATGTAACAACAGAAGCACATTTGTCTATAAATGTGAGGTATGCTGGATGCCACAAAAACAGTTAACAAGAATTTAGCACATGCAGTGAACAAGTCCCTGCAAATGCATTAGATCCCATCCTAGGACCTTATAGGAGGCAGTAGCCACAACACCGCTGGGACTCCTGCCTCTCATACAAACTGCTTGTTTCCGATAAATGCCATCGAGAGTCTGATTCATGAGTCTGCTCCTCCGCTGGATGCTCTGCTGATTCACTATCTTGTCATGGCTGAAGGGCAGTGAACATTTGTTCTCCCTGATGGTCATTCAGCTGCACCTGGAAAAAAACTGGAGGAATAATATGGCATTTTCTGACTTTTCTCTCCCCTCATTCCTTCAGTTATAAAGATGGATTTGGAGCGAAAAGTCTTTGGCCAGCATCTTGCTATCGAGATACTTCTGAGGGCTCTGGGCACAAATATGCGCTCCAAACGGCCCAGGAAGCCCCTGGTGATGTCCTTCCACGGCTGGACTGGAACAGGCAAATCGTTTGTCAGCAGTATCATCGCAGAAAACCTCTATCAGCTTCACATGACAAGAAAGAGGTTTGTGCACCACTTCAGCACAGTACTGCACTTCCCACACCTTTCACATGTTCATCTCTATAAGGTACTTCCAGCTTTATCTCACTTTCTCCAATTTATCTGCAATTGCGAGTGCAAGTCCCGGGTAATTTTGCCTCTTCTCACAGGAGCAGCTGCAGAATTGGATTCGCAGCAACGTCAGTACCTGTCCAAGGTCCCTTTTTATCTTCTCTGAGATGGATCAGATGCCACATGGCCTCATAGACTCTATCATGCCATTCCTTGACTACCATGAAGAGATTGATGGTGTTTATTATGGCAAGGCAATCTTCCTCTTTCTGAAGTAAGGAAAGCTAAAGATGAAAGAATTACAGTCCCACAGGATCTGCAGGGACAAAGGGAGAAATAGCTGCTGATATGTTTGTAGCTGACTGCAGCGCAGCTGAGTAGCTCAAGGTGCCTTGCTGTCTGTCTTTACAGCCTGTTGTCAATGAACATGATCAGCCATCTTGTCAGCCAGAAGACCTAAGCTGTTCAAAACCATAAAGAGCTGTCCCAGGGCTGAAAATGCTACCATTCCTCAAGTGAATGGGAAACCACCAACTAGCCATGGTGGCTTCCAAGAGTACTGGAGATGCCACTTCCACAGTGGTCAGTAAATATGTTTTCTCCAGCCCTACAAAACCACCATTAGGCAGAAGGGTCTTTGTAGGATGGATGGGACTCCCCTAGGGATGTCTTTACTTGCAGAGAGGGGAAAACTCACCTGTTGAAGGACACTTGAACACACAGATCAAGGGAGCACAATTCCTCCAGGTATTACTCCTGCTAAATCCCTTTGCTGAGGGTCACGCAGCTCTGTTCACATCATAGGATGGAAGCAAGCCCGAACCCCAAGCTTTGGGCTGGCTTACCTCTCAGCTTGCCTTTACGTTCAAACACGTGGCCAACTACCTATTTCAGCTTGGGGCAGCAATTACCACAGTAAGCAGTGGCTTGTTAGAGAGCCTCTCAGCAACACCTTGTAGTATGACCAATCCCCCTGCTCTGCTGCAGTGACAAAGGCAGTAGCTCAAGCCACTGTGCCAGTGGAGAGCTCATCCCATCAGACGCTGCTGTCAGTTGGGAGATAGTGTGGTCCTTGTCACTTCCCATATCTGGGCAATGCCTGCATGTAGGGACATGTCACCTCCACCCCAGTGCAGATTCACACAGAGTGACTGAGACCACTGCCAAGATCTGAGCAATAAAGATGGCAAAGATACAGCTCTAATGAGTCAGTGAATCTCTTTCCTAACAGCAATGCAGGTGGAGATAAAATAACAGAGATTGCTCTCGATTACTGGAGAAGGCTGAAGACAAGAGAAGACATTCCTGTAAAGGAGCTCCAGTCTCTGCTCTCAGAGGAAATTTTTAGGAACAGAAACAGTGAGTACCTCTGGGCTCAGGGCTCAGTCCCAGGACTGCTGATGTGCTCTGTCTTCTGCAAAATGATCCATGAAGCATGCAGCAACACACTGGCCTCTGCAGCACTCTGATGGTAAAACTCCCCATTCTCTCTTCCAGGTGGTTTCTTTCACAGTCAACTGATCCAGAAGAACCTGATTGACTATTTCATCCCTTTCCTTCCTCTTGAGTATAAACATGTGAGAGAGTGCGTCCGGGAGGAGCTGCACGTGCAAGGGCATCCCAAGGATGAAGACCTCATCACAGAGATTGCCTTGGCAATGACCGACTACCCCAGTGAAGAGAGACTCTACTCCAGCAAAGGCTGCAAGACTGTGGCCTCCAGAGTGACTCTGAGCATCTAGGCACTACAAAGCCAAATGCCTCCTCTTCTTGTGACAGGACCACAGCAGATGGAAGAATCAGTAACTCCCTTTCTCCTTCCTGCAGCTCAATCTACACACTTTTCCTTAAAGGGATTCAAGCTGCCCCATGCCAGAGGCACCTTTCGTAAAGCTCTTGAATAAATAAATACATAGGACACTGCAACAATTATGGTATAGAGTGAGCAGAAAAGGGACATACGTGGGTGATGAGGCTTGCTCTCCTTGCCACAGAAACACTCCCAAACAAAAGTATCTTAAAGAGGAAAATCTCCCACTGTTGTGGTAAGAGTGTTTGCGCCTTAAGTCCTAGCATTGCCCTAGTTAATAAAATCTACTAATAAATAACTTTCTCAGTAATAGTATCAGGCTGTTTTATACTGGCGGTCACCTCCATCTCTCACAGAAATCACACAGGAGATCAGCACCACAGGTGTGGAAACCTGAGCACAAAGGATGAGTTTTCCACACCGTCAGCAGGCCCCGGTCAGCGTCAGTGCCCTGGCTCAGCAGCCATCTGCCCGGCGCGCGGGCCCCCCCCCCCTCACGCCAGTGTGGTTACCCTGTCCTGGCCGAGCTGCTTGCGCTGGGGAAGGCCGTGCGGCAGCGCCTCTGATCAGTAAATGAACAGGATGCAGAAGAAACTTCCTAATCTCCACACCAAGTGCCCACGACATTTCTCGGGTGGGCTGTGGGCAGCTCCTCCGTGGTTTGCTCAGCCTGATGCAATCACCCATGCCTGCCGGCACGCTCCCGACCGCTGCCTCAAGCCCTGCTGCTGGCGGGGAGAGGAGGCGTACGCTTGTGGCACAGGATGGGGAGCAGCATTTGCGCTGGTGTCTTGCAAGAAAACCCGGCGGGGTGGGGGGACAGGCACAGAAGATAGGGCTTGGGTTGCTCTGAGAGGCAATGGCAGGGACAGG